GTATTACTTATATTATCTTATTATAGGTAATTAATTAATATAAGTGTAATTATTATTATAAGCTTAATTCGCCTATAATAACGTAAAGAATAGTATAATAAGCTACTTACTTAATTATAGTTTAATAAGGTATAACCTAAAGTTTCGCTTTTACCTTAAGGTTAAAGCTTATTAAAAGAGAGTACTTATTATAAAAACTCGTATAATTAAGCTTAAAAAAGTACGGGAATAACTTTAAATTAACTAATAAAAAGCTATAGAATTTTAAGTAAAGTATCATAAATAATAATATATACCTTTTACCTTATATAAGGGAAACTTAATAGGCTCAACTATAAAGAATATTAAATTTAAGATAAGAAAATAAAAGCTTATCTCTTATTATATTAAACCCTTTTAAATTCTAAAAACTATTAAAAAATAAGTATATTACTTAATACTATTAGAATAATATAATTACCTTTATAATATCTTTTATATTAGCCTATTAAAGCTATAAAAAAGGTAAGAAAATACTAATAAAAACTTACTTTTAATACTAAACCTTAAAGAGAATAATAAAGAGTATAAAGTTAAAGAAGTTAAGAATTAAAGAGAGTCTTAAAAAGATACTTATTACCTAATAAAGTAAAAGAAATAGCTTTTTAAGTATAATTAATAGGTAGCTATTAAAGATATAATTAATATACTTAAGGTAATTATTACGTTTTAATAAAATAAGAATAAATAAAAAGCTAATAAAACGTTATAAGAAAACTATAAGTAAAAGACTATTACATGAAAATTAAATAATTATACTCTTATTATTATTAATTTTATTTATTTTAACTTTTAAGCTAATAAACTATTAAGTAAAAATTAAATAAAATAGCGCTTAAAGCGTAAGAAAAATTAATAAAAAAGCACTTAAAGCGTCTTCTTTAAGTAAATTATTACTAAATTTATTAATAGTAATTACCTTCTTTATACTATTATAAAGGCAGTAAATTACTATCGCTTAAGTAATATAACCTAAATTAAATAAGCGTAAACGTAAGACTTAAGTTATTTTTTATTTATTAAAGACTTAATTATAATTCGCTTAAAATAATTAATAAGCGAAATAATAGAGAGTTACTAATAAAGAAGTTTACTTATACTATTAAACTATAAAAAGAGAATTTAAGTAATATAAGCTACTTTTAAGCTATTATATACTAGTAAATATAAGACTTAAGTTACTTTTTATTTATTAAAGACTTAATTATAATTTACTTAATAATAATAAATAAGTAAAATAATAAGAAGTTATTAGTAAAGAAGTTTACTTATATTATTAAATTATAAAGAGAGAATTTAAGTAATTAAAAGCTACTCTTAAATTATTATATACTATTAATAGACACTTTAAGTAACCTAAAAAAAGAGAATTAACTAGCGAATATATTATAATAAATTAAGGAAAAGCGCACTTATAAGCTCTTTATTATATTAATTAGCCTATAGGTAATATAATAAATAGTTTTAGCGTAATTAAAGCTACGAATAACTTCTAATAAAAGCTAGGTAAAGCGTATATAAGTTATACGCGAAAAAATATAACTAGTATTATTATTACTATTATTCTTATTCTTTAAGATTAAGGTAATTATAAGCTATTAAAGGTAGCTTAAAAGACGTAAAAGATTAATTATATCTTTAATTATAATAAGAATAAGCTATATAAACGTTAATAAAAATATAATAAAATTATAAGAAAACTCTTTAAAGTTATTATATTTTT